CAGCTCCTTTTCTACATACGAAATTTTGCCATGATTCAAGGTCTACAGTTAAGAAGTTTTTCCTTCCGAAGCAGGAAACTAATATTTTAAAGGTTGAAGAATTTTTTAAAAATGTTTTGAAAACAGAAATGCCTGTTAAAGGATGCTTAATGCATCTATACTTTCATGAGCTTCCTTAGTCTGGAGGGTAGAGAGGGGGCCAACTAGGTCCCACCATCTGCCATCAGGCAGCCTTACAGGGGTGTGTCTTTCCTGACCACAACAGAACAAGCTGGGGTGCTGATGGGACCTGCGGGGTTTCTTCTGATACAGCAGTGGTGCCAGTGCCTGCAACTCAACTCTACTTCAGCCAGTGTTTATACATAGACTTGTTTATATATTTCCATGAAGTAACATAAAAGAAGCAAGAAAAATTCCAGCAACTTTCATATATATCAGAATTACAACACTGTGGCTAAAAAGCAATTCCATAATTGCTAGATTTCTAAAAGCGTATCTTGCCAAATGCCAAACTTAGAAAACTCCAGACAAAACCAAAGAAGTCCAGAAAATTCCAGATAACTGAAACGTGTTTTATTATTCGCTACTTTAAAAGAAATGACTAATGTCTAACCTTGATTATTAATTAAAATTAATTCATCTAATTATTTCTTGATGTAAAATGGCTATGAATTTATAGCTTATAAAATTAAATTGAGGAAGAAAAAAAATGAGAACCAAAAGGATGGCAGAAAATATGCCTGTACTATTACTCCTGCACTACAACCTCAACACTGGATCATGGTTTTATCTGATGTATCTCATTCACATCACCTTGGTGTAATTTTTTCACGACATTTTCTGAAGTCTTTATTTTATAGTAGAGGGAATAACAGAAGAAAATTCAGGGCACCATAAACGAAAAATAACAATTTCAGGTTTACTGAGTCTAGTCAAAAATTGCTGGGATTTTCTTTCTTTTATTAAAAATTTATTTAAAGAAAACAAAAACTTTCTTCTGAATGATTATTTTGAAAGTTCACAATTTGTGAATCCTGGTTTCAGACAAGTCAACAAGCAGCAGAAAAAAGGCAGTCTTGACTACCATTTGCAGAGCACAAACTAGTTAAAAATATTTCAGATCATGTTCTTTAACTTAACTGAGGACACAGCATAAATTATATCTTTCAATTGAGATAAAAAATGCAAAAGTACATTACATCTATGTGAGTAAAACATAATATTAAAAGAAAAGAAAGCCTTTTTGTGAGCACCCAAATAATTCCTCTTCTGTACACAGTGACACAAAAGCATTTCTTGCTTTCAGGTTTCAACAAATCCTGTTGTAACAACAACTCCCTCCCTTCCCCGCCTCTCCTTTCTTATTTCTCCCACATTTCAAAAAATGAGATGGAGAACCTGGTATTTATCTTCCAGCACCATCAGCAGTTTTTACCTCTCTGATTTCTATGTTGCCCTTTGCTATTTTCAAGTAACTTGCTGGAGCTTTATAAAAACATTCAGAATCTCTGAAACGAACCTCTTGCACACGTTTCTTCTTCAATGTACCTGCTTGAGGCTCGAGTGAAGACAGCTGACAGAGGGAATCAAGGCAGGGAGGCTGCCGGCACAGGTACGGAAACGAGAAGCGTCTGTGATGCTTAGAGACCTCCCTCAGTTCAGATCTTCTATTCAGTTTGAATTATAAGTTGTAAATCTGTTTTTAAATATTATCTTTGACATAAATAAGTCTTGTCTGGAAAGTTGACTTTATGTTTCAATGAACACTATTAGAGACTTTCTGTGGCAAACAGCTCATGAGCTGAACACGGAGGCTCTGCTCTGTGTGCAGTGTCCTGGAGCTGCAAGACTAGAACTAAGTTCTTATATGTGGCCCCTCTGCTTTGACTTGCTTTCACAGTATTTCTTTCTTTCTTTTCTTTTTTTTTTGAGAAAGCAGGATTTATTGAGAGGACAGAAAAGCTCCCATAGTAGGAGGGGACCTGAAGGGGTTGCTCCTATGGTATTTCTTTACCACCACCACAGTCACTGAAACAAAGCATGCCTTTATTCTCTGAGATAGAAACTTGAGAGAACAGGCCATTAACTGCGTTATGCTTGTGGCTGGAGAGGGGAAAAAACATCTCAAAGTACTATAGCTAAAATGCCAGTATGTTTGAATAAAAGGAACAGAATAGTGACCTTCATTTTGAAGAACAAATTCTTTCTACACAAGTTCTCTATACAAAAGAAAACATTTGAAGACCAATATTCAATAGGAAGCTAGCACTATGCTAAACTAAATGCAATGTCATATTGTTTACACTGATTCTGGTTGTCTGTAATTTATCGCTGCCAGTACTTGTTAATTATGATGAACAAACTGTCTGCAGGTCTGAATTACAGTGAAAGCTATAAAATGTGTTTAATGGGAAGAAAAGGGGTATAATTGGTAAGCTGAGCTTAGATTAATCAACATATAAAGGTTATTCAGTCACAGTAAAAAGAGACAGAGAGAAAGCAAGCAGATGCTCTTAGAAAATGTTAATAGTAATTTCACTCTTAAAGAATCCTGAAGCTGAAAATGGTCCGGGAAGGCAGTAATTTAGTAAGCTGGCAGGAGTGTGAAATGCTAAAACCCAAACTTGAAAACAGCTATTATAAAACCGTAAACATGAGCTTGATTTTTTTTCTAGCAACTTTAACTTTTGTTCTATTTTGGTCTCAGACAGAAAAGAAGTGAACTGTATAATAGCAGGCAAATCCCAAAACTTAAAATCCTAGGGAAATCCTCTTCTAAAACTGTAGGATTTACATTTTAAAATTATGAACAAAAATAGAACAACGCAATCCAGATAGTCTAGGATCTAACAACTTAGAGAATCAACATTTATAACTACGGAAAGTTTGGACTTTTAACATAGGCATGGATTAGTATTACTTCAAATATTTAACCAAAGTCAGACATCAACCCTCTTGGTGAGTCCTCTGAAGCTGAGTCACTTGCCCTATTAGCACCTTATGGAGTTCTTTTTTTCCTGGTGGAAGAGGGAGTGAGTATAGATAGTTAATGGAGCCTTTTGCCTCCAGATTTAGCCTTTTCCCGATTCCCATGAGAAATGCACAGGGGGAGAATTACAGCAGGAAGTGCTGTGGTAAAGGGGGAAGAAGGTGCAGGGTGAAGGGAGGTAGGAGTTGAGAAAAATCTGGGTGCTGCAGGTCAGCTGTTGGAGACTGTGGCACCAGGTGATTTCCGAATGTCCTACTCTGAGCAAAGAATGGTGTTCAAGATTGGATCTTAGGTTTCTTTCTGTTCTAAGATTCTATTTAAAAAAAAAAAAATCAGCCTAAGGGAGAAAAGGAGAAAAATAAATCCAAATAATTTTAAACATCAACTGTCAAGTAATATAAATAAAAATACTACTAATGATGTCAATTATAAGTTATTGAGTATTTCTGTTGGGCATACATTGTTGTAAGCCCTTAAAATATATCAGCTTATTTAACCCTATGATATAGGTACTCCAAACCTTCCCATTTTCCAGAAGAGGATACTGAGGCACAGAGAAGAATAAAGCCAAGAACTGACCTAGGTGTTTTGGATTCAAGAGCCCATACTGCCTTTTGTGAAGAAAGTATGAATCACGATAGAGCCTCTAATATAGCATTCAAAACTGATTCGTAAAAGAAAGCCAGTACTGCAGAAATCAAATATTTTCCTCAATGAAGGCAGTATGTGCTGCCAGGTGGAATAGATGGTGGAACAGAATAGGACGATGGGATCGGAGGCCTTTTTGTCTCTTAAAACACAACCAAGGCAAAGTAGATTCAATTGTTTCCTGCCTCTTAAAAAAAATTAAATAAAGAGATAAATTATTTTGGGTATCCTTTCACATACAACCAATAATGTAGTTGCTATTTCTGGTATATAATTTTGAGATGTACTGTCACTACTTCTGAATGACTCAGAATTGCTGGTTTTGCAGTAGGCAGCTTTGTTTGGGTCAGGGAATGGTTCCAGCCTCAACTATAAAGGATCTCATATTCTCAAATGCAAAAGACAGTGGCTTAATTGTTCCAGTTTTGAGTACCAGGTACCTCCAGTAAAACAAGTGCTAAGTTTGGTAAAGATCTTGCAAGTAGATGTTGACTAGAAATTAGGAATAATCACACCAGTGACTCTGTCTTCTTCCTACCACTTTCCTTCCTACTTAATCGATTTACCTGGATCATGTGACTGGCATCTGGTGGGCATGTAGAAACAATTTGTTAAAGCCACATCAATACTTAAAGCTTTTCTAATACATATTTATAAACCATTTTTAAAAGATGGGTCTAAACTATTTTCTTCCTTATTACCTATTTGGTATTTTCATCAAAAATAAAATCATTTTTTAAAGCTTATAATGCTATTGAGATTCTTTATCAGATCCTACAGCTGGAATTTGAAATGTCTAATCTCTTAACAAGGTACATGACCACTTTACCATTTCAGCATCTTTTGAGTTTTCTTTTTTGAGATAAGGTCTCACTCTGTTACCCTAGCTGGAGTGTAGTGGTGAGATCATGGCTTAACTGCAGCCATGACTTTTTGGGCTCAAGGAATCCTCTTGCCTCAGCCTCCCAAGTAGCTGGAACTATACCCAGTTAATCTCATACATTTTTGGAGAAATGAGAGAAGTCTTTTTGTTGCCCAGGCTGGTCTGAAACACCTAAACTCTAATAATCTTTAAGCCTTGGTCTCCCACAGTGCTGGGATTATACGTGTGAGCCACCACATCCAGCCCCTTCTGAGTTTTAAAAATAACACAATGGATAGCCACTTTCTTTATGCCCTGTGCCAACACTACCCCTGCACAATCACTCAGGAGAATGTCCATCTTCAAAGACTGGTGGGGCATTTCTCCTTCTGGCCTGTAGTATCCTCATCCGCTGACGGGGAGAGGGTACTCAGATGTGCCCTTGCCTCCCACTTCAAAGGGAAGCCTTTTGTTTACTCATTCTTTCTCTCAATTCTTTCCCTAGCCTTTGCTATTTAGTTCTCTGCTGCATAGAAATAGCTGCAAGCGTGACTGAGAGCCATCAAAATTAAGCATCAGGATTTCCTAGGAGGACAGAGTTAACAGGACATCATGGCCTCAGCGGGTCTCCAGCTCCTTGCTTTCATCCTGGCCTTATCTGGGGTCTCTGGGGTGCTCATGGCCACTCTGCTGCCCAACTGGAAGGTGAATGTGGATGAGGGCTCCAGCATCCTCACAGCCATCGTGCAGCTGCACGGGCTCTGGATGGACTGCACGTGGTACAGCACTGGTATGTTCAGCTGCGCCCTGAAGCACTCCATTCTGGCCCTCCCTGTCCACGTGCAGGCTGCGAGGGCCACCATGGTCCTGGCATGTGTTCTGTCTGCTTTGGGGATCTGTACCTCCACAGTAGGAATGAAATGCACTCGCTTAGGGGGGGACAGAGAGACCAAGAGCCATGCTTCCTTTGCTGGAGGAGTCTGTTTCATGTCTGCAGGAATCTCTAGCTTAATTCCGACGGTGTGGTACACAAAGGAGATCATAGCAAACTTTCTGGATCTGACAGTTCCAAAAAGCAACAAACACGAACCTGGAGGAGCTGTCTACATTGGATTTATTTCGGCACTGCTGCTGTTCATCTCGGGCATAATTTTCTGTACTTCCTGTATAAAGAAGAATACAGAAGCTTGGCTCTACCTGCCTAGGCAACAGCCTCTCTCCACCACACAGCTAGAGAACAATTCAGCACACAACCTGAAGGACTATGTGTAAATAACTGTGAGAGGTACATGGATGAAACTTTTGGGTGCCAAGTGGGGCTTTATTTTACATTTAAAAAAATCAGAATTATGCTTAACTTTCGCCACAAAGAAAGTAGAGTATAAAATACTTTTAAAACTATGAGGTAGTTTTAAATGGCAACAAAATTATCATATACAATTATAACTGACTTAAGATTTATTTTTTATTGTTTTCATGTTTATCTAAAGGTTTATAATCGAAAGAGGTTTTGATTATAAAGCAATTAATTAACAGCTTTTCTCCTTTTAAAGACAACTTGTTGATAAATCTTCCAAACTGAATTTCATAAAAGAACGAAACTGACAAGTATAGAGAGTACCTGGCCTTAGTGTTAACCAGGAAGACAACCCACTTCTGCTGCGCAGTTGGCAACACTTGAGGAGCATGCTTCTATGTTAGAGTCACAGTGTCTAAGAGAAGAGCTGGGCACTCCATTCAGATGTGGCCAAAACTATCCATCCCTGGTCCCTATCTACTGCGACTGGCTGTCCCTTTTTTCATTTTAGAAAGCTACCTACATACATTTGCAACAGCTGAAAGTATTATATGCAAACTAAGACTTGGCAGAACAAAATAAAATAAATTGGTAAATGCTACTACAGCAAAAGAAAACCAAATCAAATACAAACTAAAGTCTCTAGGACAAACATTAAATACAAGTGATAAAAATAAAAGTTTTTTTAAAAATGTACATGAACTCTCCTCTTCTGCTCTAACAGGAAGATTCTCCAGATTAAGGTCTCTCATCCTAGAACAATTTAGATTTACTCCTACCCCATCTAATCTCTCATTTATTAGTATTTGGATGATAAAAGCTACTTTTAAGCTATCATTTTTTCCCTCAAATTTGATTCAAGTCACCAAAAATGTTCTCTTGAACATTAGCTGCTTCAATTAGCTAATGAATGTGAAAATACTTTTAAAGTACAAAGATAGTTGTATATTTTAAAATATAAGTTAAATTATGATATGTAATTCAAATATTTTAAAAAGAAAATAAAAATTGGATTTTCTATAGGTGCAAAGGAAACATTGCACACTGTTGTTTCTAACAATTTATTTGTTAATTTAAGCTTAATCACTGTCCATAATACAATGGGGTAAAGGGGGAAAAAGTTTCTTTGTACATGAGTAACACTGGAAGTATATCTTTTATGTGAGTAATTTTCATTTGTGCACATGGAAGTTGAGACTACAATATTTCATACCTATTTTACTTGCTAAGAGCATCACTCTCTTCCATAACAATGTCATTTGCTATTAGTGAAATAGATAAAATGAAAAGATACTATTCTATATGAGAATTAGGAAGGAAATCATTTCACAGAAGGTTAAAGGACTGTTTAAACTATATTCCTTTTAAGTGGTCAAAATATTAAAAATAATACTGGTGATTTATTTCACCCATGCCAGCCCTGGCATGTCTCCTTTTCTTTTCTGTCTTCTTTCTCTAATAAGCTTTGTTTTAAAACTTAATACATGTGACAGGACTGCTTTGACACATCTATGGTTCTTTCACGTTGCTTAACATGACCGGGTTTGTATTCAGTCTATGTAGCCTATAGTCCTACACTAAAGTTCACTGTAAATTTGCTGTATCATTCAGTATACATCAAAAAATAATTTTTATTTAGCTCTGAAACATTTTCTTCCTAAATAGACACAGGAATGCTTCAGGCTCTCAGAAAAGCTGCCATTTCATATGACACAACGGCCCATTCTGTGCAGCCCGGAGACGGCAATGATGCTGTACACAGCAGTGTGGAGTCTCCCCACCCCTCTCAGATTCACCCCCGCCATATTCATTCCTCCACCTGTCATCCTCCCAGTCTCACCTCCCTGCGGCCCATGTTCCCACTCACCTTTCAAGGATCACACGACATTTCTGCAAACTCGATCCTGACTCAGAGAAGATTGGGGCCAGCAACTCTTGCTTTCAAAAAATGCTTCATTTAAACAAATTATGAGTTCAATAGGACTGCATCTCTAGCTAGACTGGGACAGGCAGCTCTTTTACCTCTGTATGCTCAGTGACATGCCATAGAAGTCCTTACTACCACATGCCTGTCCTGGTCTAAATCCTCTCCATACATTGACTGGCTGAAATCTAGCAACTCTACCAGGCGGGCACTAGTCTCAGAAGCTTACAGGAAATTGAGGCACAAGAGAAGTTAGTAAGTTCCCCAACTTGTTCAAAGTCACACAGCTAGTAAGTGAGGAGATGGATTCACCTAAGGGAATCAGGCTCTGGAGTCAAGCCAGCAGGGTGCCAGTCCTGTCCTGGAGCATGGTCACACAGTACACATACTTAATTAAAGTCTGAGTTTCTGTATGTGAAAATGGGACAAACATGGCAGCTATTCAAAAGTTGTGAGAATTAAGTGAGATGATACACACAAAGCAGTCAGGGCATAGAAAACATGCAATGAGTGCTACCCAAGAGTTTTTAGTCTAATCCAATGACTTTCAGTGGAGTGAGTTCAGCCTGCAGGGGATGTGTGGCAATGCCTATAGATATTTTTTGGTTGTCAAAACTGAGGTAGTGCTACTGGAATCTAGTGGGAAGAAGCCAGGGATGCTGTTAAATATCTTAAAAATGCACATCACAGAGTCCAGCAACAAAATATCATCTGGCCCCAAATGTCAACAGTTCCAAGGTTGAGAAACCCTGGTCTCCTTTATTGAATATACTGAAGTATTCATTTTTCTTTGATTACAAAGTTACAAAACAAAAACCAAAAGAATCAAATAATCAAAACACACACAAAGAATATCGTGCTTATTTTTACTTACGGTGTGTGTGTGTATCTATACTCACATATACATCTATGACTAAAGAATTCATCTAATAATTCTGGCAAAAATGGTAAGGTCTTAAGTCAGAAGAATTGAGTGTAAGATTGGGATGCATTGGGAAAAGTGTGGGTGATGTAGAAGTTGGTGACTGTTGACTACTGTGAGGGGAAAGCTGTTGGGGGGTCTGCTTAGATGATCCAGGTTTAGGCCTGGATGTCCTGGACCAATGAAACTGTCATTAGTCAGCATATGAACACGTGGGAAGGAGCAGGCCTGGCAGAGGGAGACAGAAGTAGGTGCAGCTTTGGAAATGGACTCTGGTTTCTTATGCTCTCACTTTCATCACGACATTATTGGCTATACACCTTCAGCATAGGCTAACTTTATTGACATTTCAGATTTTACAGCACAGCCTATAATTTTGCAGAACACTGTTGCATTATTATCTTATCTTCAAGTAACTTCTGTGTTCACTTCATTGCATTTTATACATATATAAAAGTACCAGCTGTACAAATGAAATTTTGTTTCTTCCTTCCTTAGATGTATAATACTTATTGCTTATTTTATTCTTGAGCAGTGATGACAGCACACTAGCATTAAATTAGAATTGTATTAGTAAACACTCTTGTCTATTCAACATTTATTTTCTGATTCTTAAGGAGGATGGCTCTGGTACTTCTCTAATTATAAAACTGGCTTTTGGTTTATATTTGTTTTTATTTTGAATTGGCCCGTTTTCGGAAGAAATTTGAGGTAACACACAAAAAAGTTGTGGATAGGATAAGCAAAAATAACTTCACTGATAAAGGTGAAAGACAAAGTTTTAAAGAAAACTAAGACAAAAAAAATATGATTAAATAATCCTGGCTAAGCATGCTAAAGCAACTAAATATGGATCTTAGAACTTCAAAGCAACCAAGGCAGAGAAGGCTGAGTAAGTGATCTTATAGCTCTGTGTACTGGCAGGAACCTAAAGGATGCTGTCAGTGCCCTGCCCAAGCTCCTTTCGTTGGGCCAGGGTACCCATTCCCCAGTTGCTGGAGGTGTTGGGAGCTATGACTCCCAAAGCTGGAGCTGCTCTACCAGGAGGTCACTGCTATGTGCTCCCGGCAGGCAGCCAGCAGCAAAGGCTGACTGGCACAGGGTTCCAATAGGCCAGTTGTTTCAGGGAGGACAGACTCTGGGGACAGTCTGTGTGGCTGAGCACCCACCATGGTCCAGAATGCAGCTGGTCTCCAGGAGGAACCATCTTCTTGCTTCGTTTTCCCTGCCCTCTCCTGCTGCCTGCCCTCATACCCCCTGTCCTGAAAGCCCTACTCAGTGCCTCACCTTTATGAAAACCCCATTACCGCCGGGCTCAGTGGCTCGGCCTGTAATCCCGCGCCTTTGGGAGGCTGAGGTGAGTGGATTGCCTGAGCCCGCGGGTTCGAGACCCGCCTGGGCAGCAAGACCTCATCTCTACAATAAATCAAAAAATCAGCTAGGCGTGGTTGCGCATGCCTGCAATTGTGGCTACTCGGAAGTCTGAGGCAGAAGGACCGCCGGAGCCCAGCAGGTCAAGGCTGCGGTGGCCGGGAACGGTCACTGCACTCCAGTCTGGGTAACAGAGTGAGACTCCAACTCAAAACAAACAAACAAACAAACAAACAAAAAAAAACCCCATTACCTAGGATTCTAGGAACACAATACAGACCAAACATTGACGTCTTAGTTAAGCAGGAAAACATTAGTCTTCTGATCTTATGTCCAAATGATTTTCAAATACAAGGTAATATAAAACAAAAATAATATCCTATATATCAGATTTCAAAAAACACAAAGGCATGAAAAACAGCTGTCTCTTCTGTGAACCCATCCACGTACTAAGTTTAAGATTGTCTCCTACAGATGTCATGGCCTCAACAGTTAAGGGCAAGTGCAGGTGGAAGCCTCTAAAACACTGTCCTCAAAGGACAAGTGTAAATGCCCAAGTCCAGACCTTTTCTTTACATGTCATGGATATATCATCTTTAGTTCATCTAAAATTTTACTGACATTATTTAAATTTGTACCACATTTAGGGGTAACTTGTTCTATTCTTCTAAATAGAAAAAATTAAATGTAAATTCTATATATGTCTTAAAATTATAATCCCTACTATTATACCAGAATACTACAACTTAGTTCATAAATATTGTTTCTATCATAACAATAACAACTACCTTTCACTGACTGCCTCAATGTGCCAGATACTCATATTTGGCATTTTGCATGATTATTTTTATTCCTAACAAATGTCCTTCAAGGGTGGCAGTACTGGCCCAATTTGGATGTGTGAAACTCAGTCTGTTAACTTGACCAAGTTGTCATAACTAGAGGTACTGGAATTCCAATAGATCTAGCTTACTTCAAAGTCCACTGCCTTTATCGGTGTAAATAAAAAGTAGTCTGTTAGAATTCTCCTATCTAAGTGATTTTCCCACTAGGTCAGAGTATAGGCTATCGGTGAGAATGAAATTCTGTCCACTCCATAGGAAGGATGTTAGATTATAAGGCCATGACCACAATTTATAAGAAAAAGATGACACGGCATTTTGAGGGATTAGCTAACAGCTCAGTATTTCTCAAACTTTAGTAATGAACAGTCTAGGTTAAAAAAGTAAAAGAAGTGCGGGACTCCAGAAATACCATAGATTCTCAGGGATGTACAGAAGCTAGCTTGAGAAACTTAAGGAACAATTTTTATTCTGTCATGAAAACATTTTTTAGTCGTGAATTTACATTGCAAAAGAATTTTGTCTTGTAGTTGGTAAAACAATTTCATTAACTCAACAGTAAAATTCTATAAATTCAAACTTAAGATCTACATACAAACTCTAATGGTTTAAGAAACACTAAAGTAGACCAATTACTTTAGTTTTAGGAACCAAAGAGGCTGTCTTTTTTATAGACAGAAAAGTATCTAGGGCTCAAACTTTAGGCCCTATACTAGAGAATTTATTGAGAGTGAAGTTCAACTAGTCAGAACAGGAATGCAACAGTTCCACGGTAGTAGACGTTCTGCGCTTAAAACTTGATTAGGTTGGTTAATTGTAAGACTGATAAACAGAAGGAATAGCAGATTCTCACAGAAAAAAAATCCAAAGTGGCTAAAACAAGTCCCTCATATTACAAAATAAATTCTCCATATCTAATTCTTGGAATTTTGACTGAAAGTAAGAAATGTCAGTGAATTTCTTCTGAGCATTAACTTCTCTCTCCCAATCACGCCAGAAACCTACCTGACCTGTTTTCAACATGTGGCTTATTGCAGTGACCTGTGTCTAGGACTTTCTCTTCTTGCATTCAGAAGGCTTAGCCAGAGTGACAGTTTTGAGTTGTTATTTTTTCGCCTGTATAAAAACTCTTCTTATTTGCGAAAATAAGTTTTTTAAAAAGATGCTTAATGTAACTATCAGTAAAGTTCTTTCTGGCTTTCCTCAGAATACTCTTGCTCTGCCATAATACTGTAAAACCACCTCAGAGCAGCAGAGGATTCTTTTAGACTAACTACAATGTAATCATTCGATTTATTGTTTTCCTTTATGGTAACACATCCTCTCTCCTCAGTGGTAACTGCTTTGCTAGATTACAAACAAATCTCCTGTATGTAATATTTACAACATAATGAAAAGCATGAAGAAAGGCGCCATGAATATGTTTAATTTGCCAACAAGTAAACATTTCTCAATAAAAAGAGAATGAAAGACATAGCTAGCTTTTTTCAAACAATATTTTCTTGAAGCCTTAAACCCAGAGAAGAGAAATTTTAACTAGCAAATAACATGTGTACCTTACCCCTAAGTCAAAGATAAAGTTGACATTAACTTCTAAACACCATTAAATACTCTCAACTAAGTAACTCAGAGTTAGAAACTTTCCACTAAAAAATGCTAACATCTATCCTAAGAAACATTTGGTGGTTCTTAGAGAGTCTTGGGATTCTGGTCTATGGTAATAAGCATAACTATAAAAGCCTCTGAGTAAAGACTTTGGTTTCTGATCTTATGGGTCTTACACTATTTAAAACCTTCTGCGTATACACACACGCATGACAAGAAAGCAAGCTATATGATCATTTGGGTTTCTTTCACTATAATGAAAAAATTTCTCTCCTGCTAAGAGGAGAGTCCCTGAAAGTACAAATGTGTTAAACTCAAGGACAGGGTGAGTGTGTAACTTATCTTTCACATGGGTATACTTTTAAGAGTAACAGGGGAAGATGATTATGACACCACCAGGTAACATGCATTAATCTTGGTATTTGGTTGCCCCACCTAAGGGGGAGAAAAATTAGAATAAGAACCAGCAACTAATATTGTGATTTTTGTGGTTTTCATTCAGGAGAAATAAAGAAAAGGTTAAGACGCAGTTTGCATATAAACAAGGATTCAATCCTAGAGATTATTTCCTAGGACACAACTTCAAGGGAACACACATTACAACTGAAATCCTAATATGAAAACAAATAAGCAGAAATTTACCTCTGGTTTGGGGACAAAAGCTCGTCCTGGAATTGTGAAGATGTGCTGAACCTTGCAGAGGTACTGTGCCATGACAGACAGGCGACTGCGCTGCCTGCTTCCGGTATTGGCTATAAGTCTCTGCAGAAGGATGAAAGCAGATGTTAGCAAATCATTGATTAGGTCTGATCATTTAGGACAGAGTCAGCATTCCATTATTTCAAGACCAGGTGGATTTTTTGAGGCAAATTTTAAAAACACAGATTACCTGACACAAGACATGTAGTCAACATGGGAATATTTATTCTCCCCAGCATCAACTGAGGCACGCCTAGAAAGTGTGAATTATATCACTAGTAACATACTCAAAAATTCAGATCCGAGACTCCCCTACCACCACTGCTAGGATTTTCAAAGCACTGTTACATTCTGTAGCAGGAGGTCCTATATAAAGCAAGCAATCAATAAATATCTGATGGTGAAATTAACAAGCATAACAAAGAACTAAAGATGCTTTAATATTTAATTTTCTGAATTACCCCAATATATGAATGAACATTTTTAATGGTGTGTGTTTCTATTTAAATGTAATAAAAACTTGAGTACACAGAACTCTTGGAGAATTGGCTGTTCCTGACAAATGATTTCTACAAAAACCTAATCATTTATTCTTTTAAACTCTCATTTTTGTTTTGAAATTAATTAGGTATATTCAAGTTAATTTGTAAGTACAATGCAATTAAAATCAAAATCCCAACAGGATTTTTTTAAAAAGAACTTTAAATTAATTTCTGTATATATTATTCTTAAAAATTAAATTCCATATACAATTTGTATGAGGCCAAAACGGCTAGGACACTCCTGAAGAATACCAACAATGCTGATGGCAGTTCTTGCCCTACAAGACATCAGAACTGCCAGGGCACCGGCAAACAGACCAGTGAAAAAAAAACCTAAGAAACAGACCCAAACACATGTGGATATCTGATACACAACAGATGTGATGCTGCAGCTGCTAATGGGAAAAGGATGGATCATTCAACAAGGGATAACAGTAGAATCAGATATCTACAGGAGAAAAAAGTAGGTCCTCTATCTTGTACTATAGCCAAAAATAAATTCTAAGTGAATTAACAATAAATAAAAAGCAAGACATTTAAATTTTTATAAGTAAATTATCTATGACCCACATGGTAGGTTATAATTTCATAAAAGAAAAGACTGATATGTTTTGTTCTACTAAAATTAAAAATTTCTGTACAATAAAGACTATACTGTAAATGTTTATAAGTCACAGCTAGAGAGAGGGTATTTGAAATTCATATATTTGACAAAAGATAAGAGGTAAGACAGAGGTATAGACAGAACTCCTACACATCAATAATCATAAGTCACTAATACAAAATATGATCAGGCAATTCACGTAAGAGCAACCCAAATGAACCATAACCATAAACCATGTTTGACCAAATTATGAAGTAGGAATATACAAATTAAAATCATGATGCAATATAATTTCATACACATGAAATGAACAATATTTTAAAAATAATAATCTGGTAGAATGTAGTATTGCAGAGTATCTGGAGCTACAAGAACTCTGACACTGCTAGTGAGAGGAGAATTGGTCCAACCATTATGGAACATAATTTGGCAATATGTAGCCAAGCTGAAGTCATGTAAACACTGGTGACCCTTCAGGTCTCTCTTTAGGAATACATTCCAGATAGCAGTTTACATACTTACACAAGGAAATATGATCAAGAATATTTACTGTGGCATTATGTGTCACATCCAAAAACAGTAACAAAATTATATGAAAGACCATCAACATGTGAATGAATAATTTTAGCTGGGCATGGTTTCTCACCCCTGTAATCCCAGCACTTTGGAAGGCAGGAGGATCACTTGAGCTGAGGAGTTTGAGAACAGCCTAGGCAACATAGTCAGGCCTTGTCTCTATATAAAAACTAAGTTTAGCAAAAAGAAATTTTAAACATAGATAAAATTTAACAATTTTGACAATGCAATATGAAATAATAGTTAAAATGAACAGGGGATATCAATGTAAATCTCAAAATAAAGTAAAAAAAATTAAGTTGCAAAAAATATATATAGTATGATGCCATTTGTACAAAAACTTCAAAACATTACTCCTTATTATTTAGTCTCTGTGTGTGCCTGTGTGTATCTGGTGCAAGCAGAAAACATGACCAACTCTGAGAAAGTACAACTCATAGGAGGGAAAGACGGGGTTGAAACATACCTACAGCATCTCTTTAACAGAAATATAAAAATATGGCAAAATCTGTTAAAACTGAACAAAGCTGAGTGGGGGGTAAAAAAAATTAGGCATGCTTATCTTTCTAAAATGTATCGTGCCTCTCTGTGTTCTTAGAGCTCAAAGGACATTCTGAGACTCTTCTGAATAATTCAGGGCAACATTACACATACCAATGACTATAAGAATAATCCTGGGGCAAGGCAGGCAGGCGGTGGGCCCTACTGTGCAAGGGATGCAGTGCTTTCTAAGCTGCATTTGCTCCCTTCCGTTTCAATGAGATGTGCCAACCTACTCTAATAGTTCCTTTTACTTTGCTGCTTCTAACCTTTCTCACCATGAAAAGCACAGAATTTAGCTTGTTAGAGTTTTGTAATAAGTAAGATTAAAAACAGGTTCTGTGTGATATGCGGGGGAAATTTTCTATGGGCAAGCTGTAGATTATACTTAAAGCCATCCCCTCCTCCCACTCCTCACCTTTTAATTTTAAACCACCAATCTCTTGTATATAGAGAGTTGAAATCACTGGGAAGTTGACTTCAAGTTAACTGATGAGTTGCTATAGCATAAAACAAAATACAGTCTTCCTCACTAAAATGTAAAACCAAGAAATGTGTATACTCTCAAGCAATTACAAAAATATAAAGAAAACAAAAATATAGATTAAGTTAAAGAATAAGCTTATGGTTCAAATGGTCAAAAATATTTTAGTTCTTCATTAAAAAAAATATATATATTTTAATTCTTCATAAGAAAAAAGAGCTTAATTTTACCACTGGCATGCAATTCAAAAATTCAAAATGCATAGTAAAATTTTAACATCCAACCAGTTCCATTCAAAATAAATCTTTAAAGCTAATATCTAGCATGAGCATAATTTAAAAAATTAGAAAATAAGCCAAAACCAACACCACATTTTAAAAATTATTTCATCCTGAATTTTTCTTCTTCGTCATAGCTAATATTCCACTTCACATTTGAAAGGAAGTTTTCACTGATGAATTTAGAATGATTTTAAAAAATTACTTTAAAAAGAAAACGATTAAAGGCATGAATATTAAGTATCCTAATCTAATATAAAGACACATTTAAATACATTTCATTTAGAATGCCATGCATACATCCAGAACTGTCAGGGAATGGGGTGTCATAATCCATTAACTTGACCCATTCAATCTTTGTAGCATGTATACCTAGGGTGCAGAGTTGAAAACATGTGAATCATATGTTTTGATTTAGAAGAAAGCCGTACACATAGCTGTCCCTAACTCATTAAGGAAAAATTCAAGTCACACATCAGAAAGCTCTACAAAAGACTTAATTCAAAGATATTACAAAATTTAAATGGTTATCAACCATTCAAACATACATTGCTATTTCTGCAATAGATGTAAGTAAAACTAGGAAAATTCAAAATCAATCACAAGATAGATTATTTCAACGACAAAAGATTGGGAAACCAAACCAGTTAATTTTTCAGTAAAAGGAATCCTCTAACGCTTGAGCTTTTAAAAGCATTCTGAGTATGAGAAAAACAAGGGGTCAAATAATTCACAGGACAGTGTTATCTTTTTCTTATTCATCTAAAATAATTTTAAGTAAAGTAGAAAAGTTAGGCTTACATTTGAGAAGCTACACAAATGAAAACTACATATTATAATTCACAGAGGTGACTGCCTGCCTATTAGAGACGTGCCCCAAAACATCAGGGTCCTCAGAGGTGTTAGCAGATAGAGGCTGACCCCAGACCCAGAAAGAAAAGACCATAAGGCCAGCAATATTGAGAACCTGAACACCATGACTTTAGCAGAAAGCACACGACCTGTATTCAAGTTCAGCTTTCTCCGTGATTAATCCATGGCCTTCTGAGCCACAGTTTATCATTTATAAAATGTTAGATGAGATTTAAGTTCTCACTTCTCACTACATGGTTGCATTCTATATTATAAGCTGTAACTTTATTATATAGTCTGTATGAACTGTCCCTTAATGAGTATCAGCTGAATTCTTGACATTTTGATCCTGCATTCCTAGAGACAGGAATCAGAGGACGGTGCTAATTTATTTGTTTCATAACTCACAAAGTAAATGTTAAAAAGAGATTTCTATGGCTAAAATACAAAAGTGTATATACATTCCATGTCAAGAGGAAACTGGGTATATAAGAACATGTTGCAATATATTCTTCTGCTGAAATGTTCACTGGCAAAAAAATGAAAACCTGCCAGAGGACCAGTGTTAATCACACTTCTAATGCATGCCATAAATTATAGCCTCAATATAAACTCTTCTCAATATGAATGCTAAAATTTAAGTAAATCAACCTTTTTATGTTAAAGAAAAATAATTGCATAAGGCAAAGTCAAAGCAGCACTATTATTAATAATCACAACTAATATCATGAGTCACTGGAAATATTACTCCATCTCTTAAGCCTGTGTTCCTTGGGTCTTTCCCCCAAAACAATTAGAGTGCATAGTATTTTGCATCTCTATTGTATTATTCAAGAACTGAAATACCACAATAATCATGTCAGCTGAGAAAAAAAATCCATAGAAATGGTAGAGAAAGACATATATTTGGTTTTGGTTCCTGTCCCTTGCGCAGAGCTCCTAAAACCCTTGGAACTTCCTGAGTGCACAAATGTTTTTTTAAATTCATGAGTCCTTTTTAATCACACCAGTTTACGCTACTGAGGCAATTTGGGATGGGGCCCCTAGGTAGCCTCAGGATGGGGCTGGTCACCAGAGATACCAACTGATTCCCCATCATTTAGTCATATGCAGCTGGTCATTCAGAACTACTGGCCCAGACTTGTGATTGTGATCTGAAGTGGAGAAAGAGGCCTTAACTTGTGGGATCTGACACTAACTATAGGTGGACAGTGTCAGAATTGAATTAAATTGCAGAACACCAGCTGGTGTTTGGGAAGTTGAAGAATTGCTTGGTGTGGAAAAACCCCACGTCTGGTGTCAGAAGCATGTGTGAGTGTGTAGAGAAAACAGTGGTTTCTGTCAGAACCAACACATCCAAAGGTTGAGAAAACAACAAAGAAAACTACTAGCATGGGCCCAACTCAAACTAAAATAACCAACATAAGAAAATTAAAAGATTCATGAACAGGAAATGACAAGGATCATAAGGAAGGTAGTGATATCATCTTAAAGTTCCTAACAAATACAAAAGGGCCCTACATTTTTGTAATGGAAAATTCCAAAACCACTGAGAAAAAGATTTTAAGGCCTAATAATCTAAAGCAAAGTTTTTCAACCTTGGCATTCTGACATTTTGGGCTGGTTATGCTGGGTCATTCTTTGATGTGCACTAAAGGTGATATATACCACCGTTCCTAACTTCCTGTCTACTACATACCAAAAGCATCCCCTGTTGTGATAACCAAAGATGCCTCCAGACATTGCCAAATGTCCCTGAGGGGTGGGTGAGGCCAAACTGTCCACCATGGAAATGGCTTCTCCAAAGGGGATCAAGGGTAAGGAGAGGGATGGATCCAAAAGATGGAATTCTTATGAGACACTCAAGTTATCCGAGAAAAATATCTAAAGAATAAAGTGTATATAATTATGCAGTCTATAGATTTCAAAGAAATTCTCTTGTTAAAAAACTTTGTTCAGAAACAACTATAAAGCTGAGTAAGACATAGGAAATAACCATCTTCATAACTAGACAATAGGCAGCACAGGCCTGTGATCACTGAGATGGGAGAGGTGAGCCGTGGATGCCTGGCCACGGCCTAGAGGTCCTTCTCAGGTCCAGGACACAGAGGGGGAGTGCAAACAGAGCCCAGTGGTCTCTCCAACTTGGGACACAGAGGCTGAACCCTGGGAAGCTGAGGCAGCCAGAATCTGTGGAGGTGGATCCCTCAGAAAGGTAGGAACTTGGTAGTGGGGCTCACGTAGCCCCAAATTAAAGGTTACTCTGGATCCAGCAGAATAAGAAAAGCAAGCCTCAGATAATCTCAGCTAACTGCCAAAATAAACCCAACATTCAAACCAATATCACAAAATCCAACCCTCAAAACGTTAACAACAAGAACAACAACAACAAAACCCTTGCAACATCTGATACCTGACCAAAAATATCAGTACTGCAAAGCAGAAAACATGGGACCCATAGCAAGGAGGGAAAAAGCAACACCAATCAGTAAAATGGTACAGAAATGACAGAGATGATGAAAATAGTAGGCCAGGATCTTAAAACAGCTACAGAAATACCATACATATGCACACAAATGCCAAGGAAAGCAGGAACATAATGAAGAGAGAAAGGGAAGATATAAAAAGACTCAAACAGTATTTCTAGAGATAAAAATACAGTATTTTAAATGAAAAATGCATTGAGTAAAATTAACAAATTAGACACTGCAGAAAAGAGGGGTGACTTTGAAGACAGTAATTGGAATTAATTTTTATGTCTAGGGAATTACTAATTTTGTTTTCAAAAGAGTTAACTATGAATTTAGTAATTCTGTCTTCACTGCTGATTTTACATCTGGCCATAATCACACACTACTAAGTTGCCTGCTTCCAGGCCTTCGACTCTAGCCAATGATCCAACTCATGCTGTTGGTCATACTGCTTTGATGATTAAAGCTTTACCACATACGTTTTAGCATCTGACAGGCAAGTTTTCTCTCATCACTTTTCTTTTGCAACAATTCTTATGTATTTTTGCAGGTCTATTCCTCAAGATGATCCCTGGAACTTCAATATATTTCAAGATACATTATTTGAGGATTATAATTATATTATACATACAGAGTTATTTGGGAAAAAAACAGCATCTTTACAATGATCATTTTTCCTTTCAGAACTTTAATGTTTCTCTTTATTTCAGTGACCTTTTGAGACTCTTAGTAAGTTAGGTTATATAGTTATTTCTATAGGTCTCTCATTTTTTCTTGGGTTTTCAAAATAATTATATACCTCCAAATAATGTTTTTTTTACTTCCCATTCTAATAATGATATCTTTTACTTGTTTTATTTCCTGCTGTATTTAGTTTTCTACTTATTTATCACTAATTTAATCCTCAACTCTCCCGAATTTGAGTAACTATTTCCACCATATGCAAACTTGATAGGTACGTTATCAAATTTACCTTCTTGACTGGCTCTGATCTAGACTGAAGGTTCTTCCCAAGGAATCCCTTCTTCAACAAAACACAAAAGTGTTGTAGTATTTCTTCAACAAAACACAAAAAGCACCAACCATAAATTTAAAATTAAGGATGCCTTAATTTATACATAATTCATACACTGTAAAAAGACAAAAACAAGTCATAGATTAGAAATGTTCAATACATCTAACTAAGGACTAGTATGAGGAGTATGTAAGAGCTCCTCTAAATCGATACGAGAAAGATAAGCAATCCAATAGAAAGATGAGCCAAGGCAAGTACTTCACAAAAAAGCAAGTAGCCTCAAAGGCCAATAAATATGAAATGGTGCTTGATTTTATTACACACCAGCAAATTCAAAGTAAAACACAGTGACACACCATTATTCTCAGATTGATACAAATGTTCAAGTCTGGTCATAGTGAGTACTGGCAAGGATATGGAGCAAAATGAACTCACACACACTGCTGGTGGGAATATAAACAAGCATGATGATTTTAGAGAACAATTTAGCATTATGCAGCAAGAGCAAAGATTTGCAGTTCCACTCCTGGGTATATACCATAGAGAAATTCTGCCTGTGTGCCCCACCTGACATGAATATAAGAGATGACACTTTGTTTGCAACGACAAAACACTGAAAACAATTCAGGGTCTCCAAATAGGAGTACGTGCAGATAAACTATGACACAGTCAAATACACAGCTACCTAAATAAATAAACTACAGTGATGAGCAACACCAGTGATGTTCAGGATAATAATATGTACTATAAGAATCGGTTTAAGTTTAAAAAAGAATAAAACTAAAGTATATTTGTTATATGAATACAAGACTATGCAAAGGACTAATAGATCTAAAATCTACAGCATTGATACCTTGGTAGTAGAGGTGGTCAGGAGATGCAATCAAGGAGATGCAATCAAGGAGATGCAATCAGAATGAGGAACACAAGAGGGTATCAAAGGTACTGGTAATTACCAAATTGGTGGTGAGGATTCAGGTGTGCTTTTTACTGAACTATACATACATTACACAGTCAACCCTCCATATCCATGGGTTACGCATCCATGGAGTCAACCAACCTTGGATCAAACATATTCAGAAAAAAAAGGATGGATGCACCTGTACTGAACATGTACAGACTTTTTTTTCTGGTTATTCCCCAAACAGTACGATATAACAACTATTCATACAGCATTTACATTGAATTAGGTATTGTAAGTACTCTAGAGGTTTTTTAAAGTATTTGGGAGCATGTGTGCAGGTTATATCCATACCATACCATTTTTTATCAGGGACTTGAGCACCATCAATTCTGGTATTTGCGTTGGGGTTCTGGAACCAATCCTACATGGATACTGAGGAATGACTGTATACTCTTCTTTTTATACGTCATAAAAATTTTTTAAAAAAATCACTTATAGTCTACAGCTCCCCCTCCCTTTTTTTTTTTTGAGTTGGAGTTTCACTCTGTCACCCAGGCTGGAGTGCTGTGGCAGACTCGCAGCCACCCCGGCATTGATCTGCTGGGCTCTGGCGATCCTTCTGCCTCAGCCTTTCAAGTAGCTGGAACTACAGGCATGCGCTACCTCGTCTGGCTGATTTTTTTGATTTATTGTAGAGACGAGATCTCACCAAGGTGCCAAGATATGTCTCGAACCCACGGGCTCAAACAATCCCCTCGCCTCGGCCTCCTAAAGTGCTGGGATTACAGGCTGAGCCACTGAGCCCGGCCTGCAGCTCCCCTCTTAAACCTCTGTAGCCATAAAGCTGCCCTTGCCCACCTTGGAAGTTTACTTTCTGGAGAGAGAGCTCAGAGTACCTCTGCCAGGGGAACGCAGGCACAGCAAGCACCATTGAGGCGGGAGACTAAGTCAAGGGCTAAATACTGAATGATGAAACCTCAGCCCCCTCCCTTCCCCAGCTCCAAAGTGATGACCACATTCTTTAACTATCATCCTACTGAGTGCCAGGGATCAATTTTAAACTATCACATGCCAATTCCTATGTGTGAACGTATGACCAACACAGCATGGCATTCATCTTTCTCTAACCGCGTCTATGGCCATTGTGTCCCTGGATTTTCCACACCGTATTCCTGGCTGACATGTATCCTTCATGTTTTCCTGGAAGCTGATAGCAGTTACATCTGCCATCACTATTACGTGCTTAACTTTTGGCTGAGCGGCTGTTGGATTTTTCTTGTATAATGGAGTATTAACTTAGAAAATATAGTCTGGGGTACAAATGTGGTATTATTTTGTTTGAAAACGTGAACATTTGATAAAATAGCTAGAAAAAAGTTAAAATTTACCTCTGCCACTTCCTTTTGAAACGTCAAAGTCATCTGCGTTCTGCCATAAGCGAAAGGTCCATCTCTACAAGAAACATTTTCAAGCCACTTGATAATCAGTGGAGTGGAAACACTAAAAGGCAGATTTCCAATGATATGGATATTTGGAGGCTCTGTTGGCAGAGGAAAAAACAACTTGGAATGATTTCATCAATATATTCTAAATGCAATTTTAATTAAGAGTAAAATCAAACTGGGTACTAACAGCACCAAACAAAAATACATGGAAATACATGGCTAAGTATTTTTCATTCCATTTATTCTTCACAAGTAATGCTTTCTCACAATCAGCTTTGAATTACTGAGGAAAAAATTTTACCTAGTGTTCAGTCAGTCAAAGAAAGTCCTCAAATTACTGGCTTAGGAAATACATAAAAGAGTTGGCTTGAGGAAAAGATAATTTACTTTGGACACGGTGAGGGTCAAGGCACTCAGATGAAGCATCGAGAGTCAGATGCCAGGAGAGGATACAGACTGGACATCAAGATGTGGGTGCCTGCAATATGGAGGTGGTAGGTAAAACCACAGGAGAGGAGTCATCAAGCAAATGTGCAGCAGGTGAAGACGCCCCTCAAAAATTCCAGAAACAACAGCATGGAAGAAATGGGTAGAAAAATAACCACCAACTAAGATTAGTTAGAGGAAGTTCACAAACATAGAAGGCAAACAGAAGGGCCTGGTATCAGGAAAGACAAGAGTGGAGAAACTTTTCAGAATACCATAGGTTCCAGTCACTTGAATGTGGGAGAACTCAGTGAGATAAGGTTTGAACAGACAACAGGGGGTCACTGTGACTCTAGCGTGGCTGGGCAGCGGTAGAAACCTGAAGGCTGCAAGCTGAGGAGGCTGTGTGTCATAAGTGCGCTCCCTTGGAAAGAGCCAGGTAGTGAAAAGGCTGGAGACATGGGGACAGCTGGATGCAGAGGCATGCAAAGCCCCTTCCATTTGTCCTGAGAGTTCCCTATTTATTTGTCTTCCAAAGAGTGGGCATACAGTAAGTACCCAATAAACTGTTCAGGAATGAGGAGTACCTTGGTTAGTCAATGAATGTGAAAAAACAATAGAAAAAAGGTAAAACAAAGGTTTGGTTTCCTAAAACACTTCTTTGTTCACCATTTGAAAAAAGTAACACTTCATGATCAACCCTGTCCTTATATAGTATCATAAAAATGCAAATTTATTTGTACAGAATCTAAAACATTTTTTAAAAATTGAGACATAAATTAGAATTAAGAAAAAGTAACCTAGATTTTATAATTTGGAAGAAAATAGCTAAAAAAAATTACTATGTATATTATCTATTTAATTCTGTTCAGATAATTCTAAATATGAACATATGAAAACATTTATAACAAATGGATAATAAATAAGATACTTATTTGTAATATAATTAATTACAAAAGAACAATTTTAAATCACCCAAAGGTACTTACCATCTTCCCACGGTCTTTTGAGACTTTCTGAAAAAGCCTTTTCTATCTTAAATGTCAGCACATCTCCATGAACAATTCTCAGTTTTCCAGGTGCTGCATCAGAAAGCATCTAGTTTACAAAAAGGTCAATAAAATGAGCTCATACACTAAAGAGAGTAACAAAACTAAACTTTTAAAACTTGTACATCATTAAATCAGCTGTAAAGGCCAGGGAGTAGGAGTGATCATTAATGCACTAAAAGTACATCATGTCTACTACAACAGACAATTGTGGTGTTTCACATTAACACATATGAATGATGAGGAATAGTAACAGATAATAGTACAGCAATAGTTTATAATTTCACAATGTATTATTGTAATTCTGACCCTGAGAATAACTTCTATTTCTCTACAGATTTAGGATAAACTCACTCCTATCTGTAAGTTTTTAAATTAGAGACTAAGGACATTATCATAAGATACTGAGAATTCATTAGGAGTCAACCATATGAAAGATGAGCTTCATTCAACTTCATCTTTAGAGTCTAAATATATACAAAGGATTCTACATACCATCAAGATCTTTAATCTACAGGTAGATTTAACCAAGTAAAAAATCACTCGTCACTGCCAATCCCCACTGGCACTGCGACTCTCCCCTGACCAGAACACCCCTAAACTTCATATATCTTGAGCTGCAGGCCCTATCAACCTAATAAACTATCCTGTGTGTTTTAACAATCGTTACCTCCCAGCCTATTGTCACTTTCTAATCATTTGCTTTCTTCCCTCTTCCTTCAGTCTTTCTAAGCAAAAAAGGGAAAAGTCACCCTTTCCTATCTCTTCTTTTTCTTCATTTCATCCAGCTCAGCACATAGAAGTGACTCTTTTCTCACATCAAGCCAGAGTTCAGAGAACCTTGGTCCCAACTCAGTTACCAAGATTCCAAAACTTCCCAAGGGCCATACAGGGATGGCCAAGAGGCTCAGAGGGAACACTCACCCTCAGCACCCCTGAGTCCTTCTTTCAGTCCATTAAAGATGATTTTCTCTCCTACTACTCTCCCCATGCCTAACTCAGGCAACCAACAGGAAGGATGAAAGATGATCACAGAAGCCAGAGAGGAAACACTAGACCAAGACACATGGCTTGTGATCACCCTGCCATTGTGTTAACACCATGCCGGACACATGTCTCTTTAGAGCACTTGCAAACCGCATCGCAATTTTCTGGAAACAACATATGCTCCTTAAAGGGCAGCACCTGTTTCTTATCCACCTTTGTAGCCACTGTAACTACAACAGTACACCATAGGTGTTTAATACCTATTTAAGAGGTGAATAAACAAGTGAATGACCAACTGGTGTTCAACTTTTTGTAAAGCTAGAAACTTCCTCTCCTAGCCCGGGAGATTTTGGCTCCCAAAATTCGTAGGATCCAGAAACTGGCCAAAATTTATTTCATCAATAAATCAGACAGAATTATACAAAAAATGTTTCAGAAATACATAGCTGAAATGCCTTTACTGTTAAGAAGATAAACATTTTAAGTTTGGGAATCACCTCGTTTGATATGTTTACCCATGGCAGTTTAGCAAAAATAACTGCATAACTCTGGTATTAATGCACTTAGACTATTTTAGATAAGTTCTAGACAATAAATCTTAGAAACCGTAACAATCTCAATATATTAAAAATTAAAGAGATAGCTCTATGGGGCATGCTTTTACTGTATAGACTTCATATTTAATGATAGCATTTACCATCAATGGAGAATGCTAAAATTTTTTCCTATAATTATGCTTCACATAATTAAAACAAAACAAATAAGCATAATAAAAACAAAGAAGCAAAACTAAAAGCTTATGCTTCATGATGTCAATATACAGAAAGTAATTAATAACCAGTAATCAGGACTAAAACAGAACAAAGCAATGTACACTTGGCTCTTTGGCATTTATATGCTCTGATAACCACATATGAAATGTTAATTTTTTTCCACACTGACAGATCCAACTGCATACCTGACTGCTGATATAATAATACACAGTCACCTTCCTTTACCAGGCTTAAGGCTGCACTTCCATCCTTCTTTTGCATTCCCATTCAGGTTTAAGTGTCAGCCAATGACAAACCAAATGCAGACCCTTTAAAAAGTCTACATTTTCTTGACAACTTGTAGACTGATGTCCCCCTTTTTGACTCCCCACCATGGAAGGAATGAATGCTGATGTTCACAGATTTATGTGAAGGCCTTGAAGCAATTATGGGGAAAAAGTGCTATACAGACTCAATTGATATTATGATTATAGACAGCAGTCTTTTAAACATCTAAAATGAAATTCAGCAGAGACACACAAAGATTTTCTAAGCAACCAGTAACAGAGAAAAATGTTTTCACTACCATAATGATATTTGGGGGATGGTGGAGGGCTGGGAAAAATCACTATTATAGTCCTTTGAGAAGAACACTGGAGCATTACATTTCAAAACCCTGGGGTGTTACCACATAATGTGTTTAACGGCAGAGCTAGCCACAAATGCAGGCAGTAGATTATAGCCAAATGAGTATTTGTACAGACACTCTCAAACTGTTCTATCATTTTTATTTTAGTTTTCAACCCTATATTCTTCCAAAATGAGATGTAAGTCAGTTTAGAGTAAAAAGCATCATTAAGTAAGGTAATAAAAGAAGAAATGGAAAACCAAACCATGAAAACGAGAAGCATATACGTAAAACGCTAGAGCTAACAATCATCAGAGATGTCAGCCCTCACAATCTGCATAATGAAATACATAATTCTCGCTTTCTAATAGAAGTAGTTATACTAAGTCTCCAAGAGAGAAAACGTTTTTTCTAGCATTAAGTTTTGCAAAGGGTACATGAAACAACATAATGAACAATACCTTTAATAAAAGTTAAAAACCAAGTATAGAAGCATTCTTTCTACAGTCATTTAAAAAATCTCCCTCAAACAAGTCAAAGTCTCGGTAAAAGCTTTTCTGCAGGGGGCAAATAATTGTGGTCCACCTGGGTAGCTTTTTCAGTGATTTAATTTGATAAGGAAAAATTTATGCAACTGTAGAAACTTATGCAAACTTTTCAATTCCTTAAGAAGAAAGAACTACAATCAACAGCTACTTTGTCTATTTTATGTCACCTTCTTATCCTGAGGAGTTCATGGCTGCCAACTCTGTACAGTTACATTAATTACCTTCTTCCTAATTAACCACATAGTAGAGAACCAAATGCTATTGAAACGAATATTTGTAAGAAGACTAGGCAACTCTGTTAAGCAAACTATATGAGAACGATAAGTCTATAATGTAAAATGATAAGTGAAAAATAAAGTTTTTATTCTTTTTTTTTTTTTGAGTTGGAGTCTCACTCTGTCGCCCAGACTGGAGTGCAGTGGCCGCTGCCGGCCACCGCAGCCTCGACCTGCTGAACTCCGGCGATCCTTCCGCCTCAGCCTTCCAAGTAGCTGGAATTACAGGCATGCGCTACCATGCTGGGCTGATTTTTTTTTGATTTATTGTAGAGATGAGGTCTCGCTGCCCAGGCGGGTCTCGAACCCGCGGGCTCAGGCAATCCACTCACCTCAGCCTCCCAAAGGCGCGGGATTACAGGCAAGCCACCGAGCCCGGCTTAAAGTTTTTATTCTTATAAGTAATATATAAAAGACTAATGCTATCATTCAAAAGGAATTTAAGATGTTAAAAGAGACTTCTAGAAGAAAGACTAAAGGGTGATTTCCAAAAATCAGTTTGTTGGTGAAATAAATTATATTTAAAATTTACATTTTCAAACTTCCTCCATATTTTAAATTTATGGACAGAGTAAAAATAAACAGAAATTTTAAAACTCAGAAATCATCATATAATCACTTGTATCTTAATACAAGTATCTGAAATTATTGTTATAGGAAAATTAAGTTTGTTGGACCTTTCAATTTCATTATCAAGTCTCTTATTTTTTAACTTGACATTTGATTTCACTCTATTTTATTATTTTAGTTAATCTTTGACACACAATAATTGTATATATTTATGGGGTACAGTGTGATATTATATGTGTATACCAAGGGAGACCCCAAAAAACCTGAATTTATAAAAAATTGTGTATTCATTCTTACTTGTTTAAACTTTAGTCACCCTCAAAGTACTCTCCATTTGATGCAATACACCTATCAAAATGTTTTTTCCACTACTCAAAACAGTTTCTGAACTCATCAATTTTGATGCTTTTTAATGCTTTTGCTGTTTTGTTTCACCTCTTCCACACTGGCAAAACATTTCCTCTATTTTTCATCTGGGAAAACAACGAAAAAAAAGCCACAGGGAGCATGGGAGCATGGGGATCATGCTGTTTTTGATCAAAACTGCTGAAAACACAACGTGGTGTGGGCAGGTACACTTGTAAATCATCCATCATGAAACACACTGAATCTCAAAAAAAAAAAATCAACTGAAGCCAAACAGTCTTTCACAACAACACTAGCTAGCCAGTGGGTTCCTAGAATACTTACCTAGTAGGAGGAAGCCTGTACTACAGGGCCTACCCTCCAAAAGATAATTCTGAGTGTTTTGGGGTCCCCCATACAATGCATAAAGATCAGAGTAGGGTAATTAGCAGATTCATCACCTCAAACATTTATCATTTATTTGTGGCAAGACCATGCAAAATCCTCTCTCTAGCAATTATGAAATATACACTATATTATTAACTATAGTCACCCTACTGCACAATGAAATGCTGGATCCTACTCCTCCTGACTTCAACTTTGCACCCTCTGACCAGCCTCCCTATCCCCATCCATGCTTGCTGTTTTAACAAAACCTGAACAGGATAGCAGAGACTCATCTACCCAGATTCGTCAAGGAATTAGATGTCTGATTTAGTAAATCTTCTATTCAGTAAATGTTTATTCCTTTAATTGTTAACATTTCTTAAGAAGAAACATATATTCTTCTTAACCTGAGAAACCTGAACTCAGTTTCACTCTTTTCTTGATGATTTGGGGTCAGTCGCCTACAGTAATGGCCTCAATGGTTAGGGGGGTAGGGAGGTATGTCCAATGCCTTACTGTTAAGTATTTTTTTCCATTTTTATAGCTTTTCTGTCACT